CACGCTTAGGGATAGGCTAAAAAGGGAAATACCAAAACTTACAATGATCAAAACCACTGAGGTAAAGTTAAAACCAAGCACCGCCTGCCAGAGAAAAAACAGATTCAGTATCGGAAAGTACTGAATTGAGAATGGATCTTTAACATATGTACATATGTATATGCCCTCCTCCAGTCTGTGTAGTGAATACGGCAAATAAGTGTAAACAATAATGATGAAAAAAAGGGGGGGAGTGAGAAAGACTAGAATCTCAACAAACAGGCTCCAAAATAAATAATTAATAAAAAAAAAAAGCAAAGCAGTAGTCAAATAGTAAATACAAAAAACATAAGCTTAAGAAGCACTTTGGGGCCCAGCACGGTGGCACAAGTGGTTAAGGTCCTTGCCTTGCACGCCTGGGATCCCATATGGGCACCGGTTCTATCCCGGCAGCCCCACTTCCCTTCCAGCTCCCTGCCTGTGGCCCGGGAAAGCAGTTGAGGACGGCCCATAAGCTTTGGGACCCTGCACCCGCGTGGGAGACCCGGAAGAGGCTCCTGGCTTCGGATCAGCATAGCATCGGCCTTTGCGCTCACTTGGGGAATGAATCATCGGACGGAAGATCTTCCTCTCTGTCTCTCCTCTCTGTATATCCGCCTTTCCAATAAAAAAAAATAATGAAAATAAATCTTCAAAAAAAAAAGAAGCACTTTGGTGGATAGAGAAGTTAATGAAAGTTACACTAATCTAGATTTAGAACTTGCTGAAAATGTAGAATTCCATGGATACAGTTTTAAAATATCCTAAAGGCGTATGAGCGTAAGAGGGAACAAAGTGGTCTCCCCTGGCTCTTTTAATATACAAAACATAAATGATATGCCTAAATTCTCCCTGCGAAACAAGGCTCTCAACACGACTTCACAACTAAAAAATTCTGACAGCACTACTCAGAGGCCAACAGAAGCTGAAGCAGTAAGACAGCGATATTTACTGGGGATTAAAAATTGCAGCAGGTACTGTGTTTGGCATTTTATCTATATGACTTCAATCCTCACACACACACACAAAAATGGGATCAAGTAAGTTCCAACACCACCCCCATTCAACAAATAAAGAAACCGAGGCAGAGAGTACCTAAACTCTGGCAGCTGGCCCAGTACCAGCCTTTCTACTACCACAAATCAGCTCTCCAGATTTCCAGATTAAAAGGTCAGCACAGGGGATGTACAGTAACCGTGTAATGGAGACTGTCATCTCCAGTGGCATGTTGTTTAACTTCACGGAATTACAAAGTTCTGTGTTTCTTCCTGTCGTTGATTTTGTTCTGGTTTTCCACTGGAGGGGAGTTACAGTGACCATAGAGTGGAGACTGACACGTCTAGATGTGAGGAGAGGGAGAGGCGTGCATCTCTACTTCCGGATCGAGGATGGACTCCCAGCGAAACTCTGGGATGTATCTTGACAATGGGATGCTGCACTCTGCCAATGTCCATTTCCACAACGGACAATAAACTGTCATGAACCGTTTATGAGGAACTATGCTGTTGTAATGATGAGGGAGAACTCAGTGTCATTGGGAGGACTTGGTGGGGGGGGGGTGGATTGGACGTGGGGAAAGGGAAAATCCCAGAGCCTATGGAATTGCATCATAAAATTATAATAATAAATGAAAAATAAAAATTTTTAAAAAGGTCAGCACAGGCCAGGTATATCCAAACAAAACAACAACCTACGTGTGGTGGTGACGTCAGTGTTTGGCACAAAAAGGAGAAGACAGTCAAGTGTCTATGCTGAAATATACAACCTGTGATAAGGAAAAATAAGTACGGAGCCGGGGTGGCCAGCACTCCATGGTCCCTGCCCCACAGCAGGTGCTCAGGAATTGGAGACACGAGTGAGTGAGTCCATGACAAGGACCAGGCAAGAAAAACTAAAACACTTTGAAGCCACAGAGTAAGGAGTAACTATAGTCAACTCTGTGATAAGTACTTGCTCTCAAACCAGGAGTCTATTCCCAAAGGACTGAGAACATTAGGGGACACACTTTGCTTGGCTTCTGTACGATTTAATCCTCGAGGAACTCAGGAAAGACAGGAAACCGTGATTTCATGATGCAGAAACACACGGGGCTGCGGACGCACCCCCAGACACGCAGTAGCTCCTCCTCTTACCAAGAGTTAGAAGGCCCAGCCATCCACACCTGCCATGCTACGTGCCATCAGGAGGCAGAAATGGCCGGTGCCACTCCCCAGCAGCCCAGGATACATGGGCTCCCAACACCCACGTTCACCAGTGAACTGCAGGCCACAAAGTGTGCCATCCACAGCCCGTGGCCATAGGGTGCTGAAGCTATTTGTAACCAAGAACAACCAGGGAAAAAAAATAGCACTTACAAATTGAAAATCTCGGCCACCCTCGACTCAAGCAGCAAAGAGTTAGCGGAGTGTCCGACTATGTAGGGGAACATGCAATAATGAGAAAATGACATTGAAATGTAAAAGCTAGTGAGTACTGCTGAAAGGCAAAAACACAGATGCAGACGGCTTCTTTGTTAATGCAAATGGACTGACACATCTAGCATGAGTCAATGCAAGTAAAAGAAATTATCAAAGATGAAAACATAAAGGTCAAAAGCAAAAAAAAAAAAAAAAAGACACAGTAAAAGACAAACAGGCTCTAAGAGGTTAACAGGGTAGGCAAAAACTGACAAAAATAGCTAAAAGTTTTAGCCAGTCTAATGAAGATGAAAAAAAGATACCCAAAATGATCATAAAAAAGGATACATGCAAAAAGCATATATTTTTGAACATCAGAACAATCTAAGTATAATCTCTTAACATTATAACTTTAGAAAATGTACATTATTATTTGTATGTGAATAGTGTCCACTATACAAAGAAAATCAATCTTAAAGCTTAAAACATAGTCAAAGAACTAGAAAAAAGAAACAGCAGTTCCACATGGCTTCATATTATCAGAAAGCTCTTACTTTTAAAAGGTTACAAACTAGTTGGCAGTCAGCGCCAAGCTATAGATTCAGAAACACATTCTGTTTGGCTCCGTGAGCATGCGTATACGTATACAGATGCACACACATACGCCACCTGTGTACATTAATCTAAATTAGCAACGCACATTTCAGCTTAAAAAGTCAAAGTATGTTTCCTGACATTTTCGATTTCCCGGGTTGTCCTGGGTAACCACAGGGACGAGCAGTCACAGAACCTGCGGTAACACACGGCTGCAGCCAGGAGAGTGGTGAGACCCTCTGGCACCAGAGGTTACTGGGTCCTCTTGGTACTCCCGTGGCACCTAGCCTGCACTTACGGTGCCTCCCTAGCCGGCCATGCAGCCACCATAAAGCTGCTCTGGGGGAAAAAAACCCTTCAATAAATACAACAGGAAACCGATTCCCCCAAATTGCCCTTACATGTTTATGTCATTTTCTACCAAAATCCAAGGAGATTTCATTTTTGGATAGAGCAGAAAGAATTTAACAAATTCTCTTAGTGAAAACTAAATGGTCACTCATTAAAACATTTCTTCAAATACAGTAAGGGGAGACTTTAACTGTCATTTACTTAGAAATATACAAAGCAATAACAATCAGCCAACCAATTGGGAAGCCTAGGGCACAGGTCATGAAATCCAGAAATCAATGCATATCTAAATACCATAAAATGGCATTTCCAATCAGTAGGACAGACTGGACTATTTCATTCTCAGGAGGAGCCACAGCACAGCCTCTGTGCTAGGCAGCCTGAACTAAAGGGTTCCCCACCCTAGCAAGATAACCCAGACCACTGTTGACCGAAGATAGAGTGAGAAGACAATCAGAACACCTACTTCAGAGACCTCTTACAGCATTATTAATAATAATTTATAAAGTATCTAGAGTCGTACTCGCCCCATAGGGATTAAACAAATGAGACAATTCATGGTCATTATCAACTCTTGAGTCCACAGCCATGGAGTGACCAGCAGACTGCAGTCCTCACCCTCTGCCTCTGCCACTCTCCATTCCTCTGCTCTCAAATAACTAAGAAACAAAATCTTGAAGAACAAATTTATGGAGTTTAGAAATCAAGGGGAAAAAATGGAAAATGACCTTTAGATTGTAAAAGACCACTTCAAATATAACAAAAACAATATGCAAGTAAAATCAATACATAGGTTTGGCCATTTACATCAAGCACAAAAGTTTAGGAGAAAGTAAGGATATGAAGAAAAACAAGGAGCAAGGAATATATATGAAGATTTATTCCAGAAAGTTTGTGGGAAAGACAAATCAAAAGATAAGCTTATTATGGAACAAAACTGAAATCCATGTAGTTGTCTTACAATAAGCACCTTCTGTGAGCTTTGCAAAGACTCCCTTCTTGAACGCACGGATTTGGAACTTCTAAACCAAAATAAACTTACCTGTTAATCTCTCTTGTTTATAGTTCTGAAACATAAAGTTGAAATACTATAGTATGTAACAGGCACATTTTTATACACCAAACATACACACACACTTTCCTAAAAATCAGTCAGAAAAAGCAGGGTCATGTAAATCACACACACACAAAAAAAAAACTAGCCTATAAATATGTGAAAATATGCAACACAGTTTTCAATCAAAATGCAAATTAAAATATTCTGAACCATCAAAATTTACCAATGTGTTCAAAATTTATACTGTTAGCCAAGAAGCAGAGAAACTGGAACATTTCCATTGAGAAGCTCGAAAAATACAGTCTGATGAACTTTCCAGGGGTCACTTTGATAAAATGCTTTAGAAAGAGCTTTAAAAATAGTAAGCCCTTTTGGCATGACAATTACATTTCTAGGACAAAGCTGGAGCATCTGAATTTCAAAGGGAAAAGTTCCAAATAAAAATCAATGGAAAGAAGAACAGGCAAGAGAACCTTACGCTTCAGATAGCAATCAAAGAGTTTTTGCCTTCTGAAGAGTCAACATTTGTTTCATGGCATCCCCTCGACTATTTGACTAAATTTCAAAGAAGTTTTAAAACAAACCTTTTAACAACATCCTTCTTCTGCGTATCGATCATGTCCCACCACTTTGAAAAGTAGGAGATTTCAGACCATATGAATTTCCTACCGGAGTCTTCTTTCAGCTTTAGGACCATATTATTAAAAATATACTGAGTCTTGTCTCTAAAGTAGTCGTTGAAAGTCTTCAACCAACCTAAAGTAAGACACAAATACATCAGAAAGGTCTGGTTCAGTTACAAACCCTTAGAGCCTTCATTCATATAAAGACATATTTAAAAATTAGCAAGTGTTTTCAATCAAACAATGCCTAGCTAACATGAGACACAAAAATCTATTAACACCGCAACTACTCTTGAAAACTGCACAACTTCGAAAGTTATTGAGACTTAACAATTGCCACAGCCCTAAGCTAAGAAATGTCAGAGTTTACAAGTTGACAACAATATCTTCATCATGTTGGAATCAACATTTTATCTACCTGCCACATCTGAAACTCATCACCCAACAAACAAGTTCAACTAAGAAAAACGAAAAAGCAAATACGGGCTACACTAAAAGCAAGCAAAACCACAACAATAAGAGGACTCTGCCCTCCATCGGGCACTTGTTTCCAAAGGTCATTCGTTCTTCACGTGTATTTTTTTAGAGGCATAAACAGATGCTATCTCAATAGTAAATCCATGTAAAGTTCTTTCAAAAGAGAACTATACCTGCTGACAACTTAGTTCTCTTAATTTTCCCACTGCTTCTCTAATACTCTGGAAATTTTCAGACATTTACAATTTGCATCTAAGAAATATTCATAAGATGACCCCCTCAGATACAAACATAAGCCATCCGGCAGAGCACTCAATTGCCCAGAGCAAAAACCTACACCCTTACTGGGAGGAAGCAAAGAGGACCCTCCAGAAAACCACCTAAGCTTCGTGATGAAATCCTGAGGGGAGCAGGGTTTCTACTGATACCAGCTAAAGGCTGCACTGTTCCGCAACCTCACACCTCAGCCAGCCAGAACTCAAGAGCAGGGCTCCCGACGGCTGTGTCTTTCGCCCATCTATGAATAAGCTGCTATTCAATGACGTGCTATATTTGCTGGCAAGAGTTAAAAATAAAAATACGCTGTGGTGGAAAATATAAATATTTTGACAATGAGAAAACAGATTTCCGTTGCTCAAGCCATCCAGTCTGTAAGACTTTGTCTACACAGCTTTAGCAAACTAACACAAGCCTGCGATAAAGGCGTGCTACTACCACTCCAAAGCCTGCAACATGGAGGCCTTCCCATGTCAATGACCATCACTATGCCAAATGCAACCTGTTACACTAAATATAACACCCAGATATTGCAAGACAACTGAATTCCAAAGTACATCAAATGTATTTCCATGTTATAAGTGCAATGAGACCCAGATAAGTTACGTAGCTGGCTGCTAGAACTATTGCCTTTAAAATACCACATATACTTTCATCTGAATTTTAACAAAGGTTAAAACTCTTAAGTCTATTACAGAACTATGGACAGCAGAATACTCCTAAAATTTCTTTAATAAGTTCTAGCAATCGCCTGTGAAAGTTAATTTTGCAAAGTCTAGCCTTCGTGAAGATGAGTAAGTAGGTTTTTTTTAAAAGCAGCGCTGTGTATTTTCAACAGTTGTAATCTGTAAGGAACTAAGACCTTCTCAAAGACGAGTCTGTCACCAGAGTGCATGAAGGAATCAGAGTGGAGGATCAACCCATTTTCCTTTCAACACTTCATTCGCCCTTCAACAATCAGAGAGAAAATATGTCAAAGAAATTTACATGAGCCAAAATACAAGCCCGGAGATGACAACTTAAAAGCATCCACTAAAACTCATCTAGAATAGACACTAATGCCACGACAACACAGGACAATTAATGAAGAATGAACTGAAGGACAGTCTCTTGCAGCTTTCAATATTGAGTAATATGACAGCAAATTAGATTTTATTGCTCTTATACAATGGAGTAATCAAGTATTCCCTTTCTCGCTGAATTGGATCTTTTGTTTCAAATTACTGTAACAACTATAACTGTATATTAACGTGAGGCCAATCACAGAGATGGTATTTTATGAGTAGTTGTAAGAGATGAGATTTTGTGACATAAAATTAGATGCCTATCTCTAGATTTAATAATCTGAGGATATGGGGCTGCAAACTAATTTACTTAAGTGGTCAATTCACAGCTTTTTTCTTTTCCTTGAATGCACTGGAAATTGAATCAGGACTAAAACTGGCTTAAGAACACCTTTCCATTTATTTTTTTCACTCCAACAACATGACTACCCATAAGAGAACTAGAACTAATTTTAAGCAAGAGGAGAAATATTTAAGAGAAAGTTTGAACTAGAGGGTCTACAACACAAAAACTCCAAATTCAATAGCACTTTTTAAGCTATAAAATCAAAATCAAAGTTGGAAACTTGACCACCCATTTTCAATGTGCAACAATAATCAGATACCTCCTAATTATTCACTGACAAATCACAACTTCTTTTTTAAAACCTAATGTTTTTTCTCATAACCCAAAGCTCTAGACACGATGTGGAGGTCTGGTTGAGCCTCTTAAGCAACACTTGATTTTATTTCGTTGAGGGCAAACACATTAAGTCCTTAAAGACCTGGGGCCCAGCTCCACAGCCTAGTTGCTAAAGTTCTCGCCTTGCATGCCTGAGTTCCCATATGGGCCCTGGTTTTAATTCCAGCTGCCCCACTTCCCTTCCAGCTCCCTGCTTGTGGCCTAGGAAAGCAGTGGAAGATGGGACCTTGCACCCGCATGGGAGACCCAGAGGAAGCGCCAGGCTCCTGGCTTCGGATCAGCTCAGCTCCGGCAGTTGTGGCCACTTAGGGAGTGAATCAGCGAATGGATGATCTTCCTCTCTGTCTTTCCTCCTCTCTGCCTTTCCAATAAAAATAAATAAATCTTTAAAAAAATAATAAAATAAAAAGACCTTAAAGCCCTTCTAGCCCTGAACCCTGGATCTGGAAAGATCTCCCCCGTCTTCCTCTGTGCACAGTGTATTCCATGGGATCAATCCACAATGCCAGGGAACCTGCTCACCCAGAGCCTGGCCAGACTTTGTGAGGAACAGGACCCGGAAATCTGTGTCCCAAGCACCAAGCCAACGTCCAGAGCCTGCCACAGTCAGTCTTCCACCACGGAGGCCGGACGCCACAAGCAGCACCCTCCAGCACCTGTGGCCAGAGGCTGCAGTTTATAGGGGATGTGAAAAGAGCTTCCAGCCGTGCACGCAGTCCTTTCTGCTCTGGGATACGCAGAGCCAGGTCTTAGAGGAGAGTTTAGACAAGGGCAATGTGAACTTCCGTATACTTCTGCCTCAGATTCAGAACATTGGAGCAGCCGGCCTAGGCATACACGATAACCTAGACTTAAAAGCAGCCAATTCTTGTGAATCTAGCAGCAGCAAATACACAAGAGTAGGAATCCAATAGGGATTTTCAGGACAAAGCTAAGGGCCAATCAGACTGAGAAACGGGTGTGGGAATCTACATGCAAGCTTATTACTCTGACAGAAATCAAACCAAATGTGGAAGATGCCACGCTACCTGCGTGATCTTGTTCAGTCTGTCCTTAAGATTAACTTAGTCACCTTTGTTCAACACCTTTAAGCTCCTGTAATATTTGCATCTTAAAAGGCTCTGCAGCCCCCTTGGGATATAAAAGACCCAGCCCCAGGAAGGCATCACCACCCCTCCCTCCAAAAAATATTGTCTAAAACTATTAGCAATTTCGGCTGCTAAAACAGTAGCTTTTTACTGAGCACATTAATTCTGAACACAAGTTTGATATACCCTGTCTTCTAGAAAAACAAGATTTGAGACACAAATATCTACATCCAGGTAAGTAACCTATTAAAAATGAAGATTTGAAGCAAGCAACTTAAGCTTTACTTCCATCTTATTGTGCCAATAATCAGATTTAAAAATAAATACAAAGAGGGTTCATTTTTTTAAACTCCCTTTCTTCAGTAATTAAGTTATTCTCTAACAACAAATAATCACCAAGTTTCTTCCATCATTTATTAGTCTCTCAATATTCAACTGCAATATCTAATTTTATACTTATGGGACAATGTGCAATTTTCATTGGTATGACTATTCCCCAAATTTGCTGATTAATTTTAACTCCAACATTTCGAGTAAAAGTTAAAGGCTTGTTTATCTCCTGTGATAAACTGTAAACGACTCTTAATTAATGTAGCACTTTATTCATTCAGACGTGAACTGAGCATTTAATAAGAGCAGGGCAATAAAGTAAAGCGAGACGAAAACAGATACTGCAGAGAAAATACAAAGAAAATGCTGGGAGAACAAAGACATGGTAAAGGGCTACCGCAAGACCTGGAGAGAGATTCTTCATCATCCTTTAGAGAGAGGGCAAGGGGGCAATTTCCAGCCCAGAGGGCCAGCACCTGGGGAAGATACTGTACCACCAGCCCATGATGGGGCGTGTTAGTTTTAGGGAGCTGGAGGCAGTTGAGAAAGGCTGTATGGTAGAGAGCAAGGTGGGTATATGAGAAACAAAGAGTGTGACAGGTGGAAGCTCATCATTTTTAAAAAAGCCATTGCATATTTCTCATTTCCCATGGAAGGCTTAGGCGAAAGGAAATAGGGTTTTCTGATCGGAGCTTTCAAAAATAACTCCCAAGAGCATGAAGCAGAAACTGAAAAACTGTGTTTCCAACATGCTGCTGGCTCTACAATGCAGAGCACTAAGGGGAATGAGGGGCAGGGCAAAGAGGAAGAGCCCTTGGAAAGGCATGGAGGCTTCTAGGAGACTGGGACAGAGTCAAAAATAAAGCCGACTGGGTGACCCAGAGATCTCGGCATCTTTGGAGCTCTATAAACCTGCCGGTTCTTCCAACTGCTTCTGAATTCCCGATTTCAAAATAATCTAAGCATTCATTCACATAATTCTGTGTCATCTGAAACTTTTCTAAGTACTGTGGCTTTGCATCTATTAAAATGTCTGATACAGCGTTATATTCGATACATTTCAGATGTTGCCACTAGAAACCTTGCCCCATTCCACAAGAAGCTATTTGCATCACTATTAGGACAGCTGAGGGCTTGTGCATCCTGCAGCTGTGAATTATGGGTACTTTGCAATTGTGACCTCTTACTGGATGCTTTCTTAAGTATCTTTTAAAAG